AGCATGGCCCTGATCAGACTGCCCGGATGCGCAGGCTGGTCTTGATCCAGTGCTGGTCGCAATACCCATTATGTTGGTTTTATTCATGACGCGGCTCAAATAACTATGTCCCTGACAGAATTGAAACCAACAGTTATGAGGCGCAAGTTGCTCGAACTCATTGTCTGTTATGTAATTACTCGTCCTCGGTGTAAGTAGTGCAAGATTTGTGTTGGACGTTTTTTTGTTGTCTTTTAAGTTATAAGTTATATCAATATTATATGTATTTTTCAGATTCTCCATGGATAAAATACATTTCAAAAGAAATTGTAAACCTTCAACAGCAACAAGTTATATCAAAACTATACAAAAAATGGTAAAATATCGTTTTATATGTTATTCTTTTGATCATCAGTCTTAAATACATAAATAAAGTTTAAAAAAAAACTTCATTTACAGCCAGAAGTAACGCATGACTTTTTTAATAAATATTTCTTGAATATGTTATCATATAAAATTGAAATTTCATTTACATTTAATAACAACGATAATGGGTAAGATACCAGTTTTTGACATTTTTCATAAAACATATTTGCTGAGTAAAAATAATCTTGTTTCCACAACTTAGTAAAAGTCGTAGCCACGACATAGTATCTCGTGCGCTAAACTTAATTATCTCGTGGCCACGACTAAGTAACTCGTGGCCACGACATGGTATCTCGTGCGGACTACTTAATTGTCTCGTGGCCACGACTAAGTAACTCGTGGCCACGACATGGTATCTTGTACACACGAGATAAATTAAAACGCACAAATATCACGTTTGTTTTACCATAGCAGAAAGGCACAAGATAATATTTGCAGAATGAAATTTGTCAAGCTGAAGATGAGATGATCAACTATGTGTCTGTATTTGTTTACGCAATAAACATATATAATTTGACTTTCATCGGACAGATTCAAACATAAAACGCTTCATTATACGTATACCTAGTTATTTACGTTCTTATCTAAGGTGGGTGGAGAAAAGCAACACTGTTTGTGAAGACGACAACGCAGACGATCAACAAACAAGCGCTCTTGGCGTTGGGAATTTGGGAGGTGTATTTCTTGTCCTCGCCGGTGGTTCCATATTCGCTCTGTTTGTCGCCATATTGGAATTTTTATGGAAGGCTGGAAAGACAGCTCGAAAACAAAATGTAATTAGTTGTTTACTATATTTTATTGCACGTATTGTATGATGATGATAATAAAAATGTAATTACAAAGATCGTCCGACACGACGAAATTAAATATATTGCAGGCTGTGTTTGATCCTTTCACATATCCTTATGTGTCTCCAAATAAAATTTCACACTTAAGGAAAGACAAAAAAATACTGGTTATCAGATTGGTGCATGTTGACGATGTAATTTGATCATTTTCTCAAGAATTATAGCCCTTTCCTTTTTTACCTATGTAGCATTGAAAGACATTCTTGTTTTGTGATTATGTTCGGTATCTTGGCAAATGTTTTTAATTTATACCCAATTTATACCGTATATACATATATTTGTAGGTATCATTTTTGACTGAAGTGAAAAATGGATTATATTTCATCTTTGTGGAATGCACATCTTCGAGGAACATGGGAGAAGAGAACAGCTCAGTTGATGAATGTGAAGTGAATAAAAATTCTCTACAAAAAACTCCTAAAATCACAAACGGCAATTTCTGTAAAGACGCTGCTGATTGATTGAAGTGTTATGAACTTAAAGTTTTGCTTTAACGAACAGTTGATTTACATAGATATACTAAAACAATAGATAAAGGTGTATAAATAGTGTCACCAAATCTACAGCGATTTTAGTAAGAAATGAAAACATGGTATTTTAAAGTGTTTAACTTTTCTTAACTAATCACACCTATATCGGCCTAGCTCTTGTACCGACGAACAAAATACAAATGTATAGTTTTCTTTATTCTCATATATCATTTTGCATGAAACAACTATTAATATTTAAATCCCAATAGACTGAAACGCCTGTACACATCAGTTTACGTCATCGTGTGAATCATTCTATGCAAACATATAAAAAAATCAACTTAATTAAATATGAAAATATAAATATAAAGATACAAAGTATTTGTTTTTCGTCCGTTTTTCCCCCCGGAAACTTGTTTGTACTCTTACACATGTACATAGCAATGTTTATTCTTTTTTAAATTATATTTTATCAGGAAATAAACCTACATTCAGTGCGCTGACGCTATTATACGAGTATCCTAAATTTTTAACCACTTTTATAATGTTAAGTAGATACAAAATAAATACATGAAACCCTTGAAGAAACGGTTTGCGCTTTGACAGTATTATCCAATTCAACGTGTTTTACGTATGCGTTTTTTGCAAAACACGACCCTCAAATATTCCGAAATGATTTCAGATTGACGGTAGAAAAAAGATCAGGGGCATTTAGACTTGAAATCAGAATGGTTTTTGTGTTTGTTTTTTATTGTTTTGTTTTTGTTTTTTGTTTGTTTTATAAAGCACACAAGGGTACAAAAAACTGACACTTAACGATATTCTCACAAAGAGTATTTATAAATATAAATAACAAAAAATCAACGTTTTCCTGTTTTCTTTTTGTGTTATCACGTTTTCTAAGTTAATCGGAGAGTTAAACTGAATGACAGCTATTTGTTTACATGAACAACTGTCCGTTTCTTAAAAAGGGGGACAACCAAGATAATCGGCGATGTCTGTATACCAAATTTCCAGCATAAGTACTTGGTTGCTGAGATAAAATCCCACGAATCCATAAATTAAAATAACAAGAGCGCATGACCCTTTGGCAAACAGGCAAAGTCGTCATTTTTGTTTTTGTTTACTGGGCCCTGTATATATTGCGCATAGGTAAAAGTGGGCTATAACAAGAGCTCGTGATTCTGTTAACACATGGTTTTGGTGGCAAAAGAGGGAAAATAGCCGATTTTATGCTATAATACTGCATAATGTAAAAGTACTGCCCCACTCTTTTTATAACCTCAAATTGATAAGTTTATTCATTTTTTCTGATTTTGTACATAATTTTGTACATATTAATAAAACAAGTGTAAACAACATAAATATCTCTTATATACCTTCCATCTTGAACTGTTTATAATATATGTGTATGTGTTACGAGAACGCGACGTCACAACAAAGCGCAAAATGGCGCATTGTCGCCTAGTCGGCCGGCGCTTAGCGCATTGTTGCCTTGTCGGCCGGCGCCTATAGCGCATTGTTGCCTTGTCGGCCGGCGCAAGCACAAGTCGACAGCACGACAACGAGACGCGCAAAACTGTTAAAAATCAGCCCGAGGCGTCCGTGGCCTAGTGGTGAAGGTCGTTGACATCAGACCACTTGTCCCTCACCGCCGATGGTTCGAATCCCGACAGGAAATTTGGATTCTTTCATGTGACGAAGCTATCCAGCTAACCTATGGAACGTCTGTGGTTCTACTCAGGTGCCCGTTCGTGCCTAAAATAATGCACGTAAGGACACCTGAGGTCTTCCTCCTCCAGTAAAGCTGTAACGTCGCCATATGACCTATACTGTGTCGGTGTGACATAAAACCCAGTCACACGAATCAGCCACCATAGAATTGAATTAAGATGTGATAAATGTGTTACATAGAAGAACAGGTGATTGTTGCCCAACAAATGTCACGATACATAAGCATTTTCCAGCATTACAATTGCTAATAAATTCATCATTTAAATGTGTTACAGTTGTAATCTATTTTCTATGTTTATCATACCAGTAATAAGCTTTCGTTTAAATCTAAGTACACAAATTGTCATTATGTAACAAAACTAACGATGTTTGATGATTAGGATTAATGCCTTTTGTATGTAAACTTCTCATTAATGACAAATAAGACGCATTATTTTGATAGCAGATATTTTTAAGGATTTTTTTTTGCGCAAGAAGTTTACGTTGGCATTTGGCGGTAAACTATGCGGATTACCTCGGTTACACTATATATGCTAAATACATCCGTTTCCGACAGCATTTTATTCGAGAACTTGTGCATGCAACATCGTTTGACGAAATCATTGTCAATCTCTAGTTATATTACCACATCATGCCACCTAAACGTATAGGAACAAACAGGAAAGTTAGAAATGCAGATGAGGGGGAGCCTAGGCTTTATCAGCCTGATTCAGGTAACTATTCTTCACCTTCTTGTCGTTCCTTACGCTCTAATGTTATAGATTTTGAAGAAATAATTGGTGCGGGTATATTGTAATTCAAACTATATTAGTAATGTCGACATCCATCGAAATTTCTACATATTTACAAAGAGTGTATATTCAGTGATTATTTTTTGTTGTTCTTAAAATCGTTAAGGCGAATGGTGAAAATCCTACAAAAGTGATATATAACTTGCGTTAGGAAAATATATTTGATAAGTGTGTGCCTTTATTTTGCACCTGACTTTTTTGCAACAATCATTAAGAATTGTTGAAAATGATTTGATTACTTGAATCTTTTACACGAAAAAGCTTGTTAGAATTTAACTTTGTTAGAAATTTTATCATTGATTTCACAAGAAAATATTCTTATCATAAATAGATATCATAGATATCATAGTTTTAACGCTTGGTAGCGGTAACAATCTCTATCCATGTCACCAGTGTAGACCAAGATCAGCCAAGGCATTTGACCCTCTGATACTGTTTGCATTGTTCGCTATTCAGTCAGTATGTATTTTGATTTTTTTCTTAAATTGATGAATGGATTTGTCTCGAGATTTACAGATTGTCCAGTCCATAAATTAGGTAAGGGTAAACGTGTGGTTAGGGTTGAATTGTAGCTAGATGTTAACTAACTTTAAAACTTAAGTTACCCAGTTCCAAAAGATAAGAAACGAATTTTTCATTGCAACGTAATCTATTTGCAAGAAAAATCACTACATTGTCATTTTCTGTATTAAATTGCCACTGAATTAAATTCACTGAGTCTGTGTTAGATTTTGCACTATAAAATCTGATCATTGTTATTCAAATTTAGAAATACTAGAATGTGAAGGAGCGACTGGATATTGCCCAACAACAGATTTATGCACAAACAGCCTATGTAGTGATCCAAACTGTCAAGTGTACCCATACACAACTTGCACGTACGTACTCAAAACAAATTGATTTGCTCGTGAACAACAACCGTTATATCAACTGGTTACAACTAATGGCCATTTTTACACAACATTTAATATCCGTGATAGTTAAGACAAAACAAAAAAATATTATTTTAACACATTTAATGGTCAGTAAAAACCCTACTTAAAAGTCATAAATCGTCACAGTCAATCATTCAAAATATCCGAGATATAACACAACTTTTAAAACTTTTTATTTTTATTATTTCTTGTAAAAATCCTCAATGTAAATTGATGTATGCTATTTGCGTGTAAGTCAACCTCTTTGTGTAAATGGAATATTTTTCATATATCATGGTGTTCATGTTCATAATTGGTCATATTTCAAAACACGAAACGTTCATGCAACGGGTATTTTGTTATTCAAGAGGGTTTTGCAAGTCGGAAAAATGCTAAAACATTAAATTTGTACATTTCTAGCACAAAATACATTATTTCTATTTTTTCTATAGATAAGAAGTAAGATAAAAGCCTCAAACTGACCAATAAGTAAAATATTGATTTACCTTTCGGCGCTCCGCGCCTCATGAAATTCAATATTTGTCATATTGGACAGTTTTCGGCTTAAAACCTGGCGGTATTCACTGTATAGAGCCTGGCAAAAGTACACATATGTGCAAGTTGGCCAGGCATGCACTATACTAGTGGCAAAGGCAAACACTGTATGAGCATGTTCAAAGTCAATGCATTTCTATTTCAGAGAAGAATCTTGTAAAAATGATGAGTTACAGACTTGTGGGGTGAAAATGTAATGTGGAAAACAGCATCAAACGTGACATCTACGATGGCTATACACATAGATGATTTGAATATATGAACATTTTAGTTGATAGTGTTTCAATAGAAACATGTTACATATATTTGAAACTTATTTATATAGTGCATTGGTAAAACGTCTTCAGTATCAATTATAACTTGGTTTTGCTTCTTTCAATTAAGCACTGTTCACAACCGAAAACCTTACTAGATGACAGGTTTTGAATTAAGTTTGTTTTTGGTTGCTGCAAAAACTTGTCTTGTCAATGAAATATGCAGCGTTTGAAATCATCCTAAATTTAAGCAGTTCAGAACATACCACAATCTGAAAAGCAGATATTGATATTTTTTTCAAAAGCCTTTTTTAGTTAATACGAATTTATTTAAGTTGAATTTATTTTAGTTCGATTGTGTTGGCAGCTATAAGCTTATCGAAATACTCTCGAATCCGTTAATGGAATTAACCAGTACTAAGCAATGAGTGTAAAATTTCTTGCTAACGGAAACAATGGCTTCCCGCTGACAGGGTCCGAACCCACGCGGCAAGCAATCTTTTGATAACAAAGCGCGTTGAACACTCGACCATGCCGCCACCATCAATGAAGAAATGGAGAGATGAATCAACGAATCTTTTCTACAGAAAAGCTGTATTTCAACCGTTTTGAAAACTGAAATGAACTATGATATAAAATATAATTCGAACAGTATTTATCAATTTTTAATATATATTGAATTGTAAATTACTTAATGACGACCTGTACATTAATTCAAAACTATATTCGGTATCTGCCATATGTATGTTTTAAGTGTATATTCTAAACATGACATGTTTCATCATGTAAAAATCTTGAAACAAAGTGATCCCTCGGAAGCATTAATCACAACAAAATTACAAGAGAATTGCAGACTCGGTTTGATTGAGTCTGTACATGAAGGATAATGAATACGTGCAACATCCCTCACGCCCCCTAGCACCGGCTAAAATGACCCCGAAACATAGCACCAAGTAAAATCTTTTAACCTAAAGTAACCAAATCATATATCACCACAATACTGTAACATGGAGGAACGCCTTACACAAGAACATAATAACGATCAATCTTTGTAACAAAAATGTGAAAAAAGAAAAACATAGAATAAGAAACATATTAGTAGTAACAAAATTTATCATATATTATATTGATATATAAAACCTACGCAATTTATTTACAGTACTTCTTAACTTTTGGATGAAACAAGTAAAGATTATTTAATTTTAGGATTTACATTTGCAATATTTTACTGCATACGCTTCTTAAGATCTTGAAGAAAGACAGCCAAATACTACATCACAGGTAAGTGTGACTGTGGCGTTATTGTTATTTCCGGCGCAAAACACATTATATTTAGAATTATAATTTTGGCCATTCTAAAATAAGTATAAAAAATTATAAAGCATCTTTCTGAAACGTATACACTTCCAAATTATTTAATAATCTAAAGTAGTATCTAAAAAAACTTTCTAGTTAAATTTCCCGGTGAACTTCCCCAAATGACCATTTTACACCGCTTTTAAAATTTAATTAAATCTCTAGTAAATAGCATATTCAATATAAGAATTTACCGATTATATACGACATTTAATTTTTTCCCAAAAATGACGAGACTACCAATCCAGTAGAGTTCAATATCCAATGTGCATACAGAAAGACACCAATTTAGAAATCCCGAAATGTTCTGGTACTCTCAGTAGATTATGTTCAGTGTTTATAATATATAATATGATTATGGCATGTTAAACGTTGCAATATTCAATAAATTTAATGTTTGGTCTATATCCAATATCTCTAATTTTATATGCTATACCATAATATTATTCTATCCTACTAAAAATATTTGTTCTTCAAAAATATTTGTGTGCGATAATTTTCTCTATATATATTCTATATTTGAAAATATATATTGTATAATTTTAAATATTTATTGGATACAGCACTGACAATATTTATTCGATAATTTGAATCGTGGGATAGAACACTTAGCATTATAAAGTAAGCACGAATTTCTGATAAAGCGTTATCATCCTGATAGACTATTGTGCAGTGGAAATGATTGTTGTACGCATGTCCCTGTGAATGTCACTTGTAAATATTGCATATGCTTAATCCTCTTTATAAATATATATGTATGTCTTAAAATGGAAAAAGATTTTAAAGTCTTCAGGACATACGAGGGATGGTCAAAAATAAACCGGACTGGGGCTGTCAATTGAAGAATATTCAAACATCAATGTCTTATTTTTATATATCACAATTAATCGGAAAACCATACCACATTTAATTTGATAACGCAAATAGCTTGTACGAAACAGCGAATTAAAAACCATGGCAACGCACACCCGGCGCAATGCATAAATTTGCGCTAATAATAGGCTCTTTATGAAGCGTATATGTTACAATATGACACAATTAGATTTCAAAATACGAAACGTGATGAGCCATATTTTTCGTTGTCAGAAAAAAATGACTTCATTTAAACCACATTTAGCTTTGCAATCACAATTCATATGTCACCTGAAAACGAAAAACTCGCTTTAAAATCATGCCGTCATTCGATCAATAAGAAATTGTGTCAACAGTAAGTCGAGAAACTGTCTAAAACATATAAAAAGGGATAATGGAAATAGGGAAAAATTAAGGTAGCCATAACACAGTTTTTGATTGAAATTAATGATAAAGAAAGGGTGATTGAAAAATTTGAAAAAGAAAAATGCTTTCAATTGTTAACCAATGAAAATACGTCTTAAACATGAAATTATAAAATCAATTTGAAAAAGGTTTGTCTGATGACCTCTCATATGAATACATCTCTTTCATGTTCCATCTAAGTCAATTTAGTCACACATTTTTAAGGAATTTATTGTGTGGTTGTATTGCTTACAGATGAATGTTTGGCCATACTCATTTAATTAACGTTTCAAATAAGGTAGCGGCTTTATGGAATCTGAACATTTGTTTCTTCAGTGATTTTGAATTTAAGAAAAGTGTACAAGAAACAACAGGTTATACCCAGACTCAAAATGGTCATGGAGAAATAATGAAAAAGTTCGGAACATAAAGATACAGGGTTGTTTTCCTATTAACACTGATATCATAAATCATTTAAGTCAACTTAATAAAAAAACAAAGATGGCCGGTTCAAAATATAAAACATATCTAACAAAGTTTAACAAAACATTTTTATGATTAAGTTTTAAAATATCTGAACAGAAAATATATATCTTCCCTATAATTTTGAAATATTACAAATATGTTTCGTTTCTTTTGACAATATTTACAGTATGAATAGATGACACTAAATCTTTCATCAACAAAATTGTTTATCAGTTTCAATCACTTTAACTATTTTGTTTTGGCCTCTACTGTTTTCTACGTTTTAAAATAACATTCAGAATATCTCAAAACGTGAATACAATTATTCAAAATACTTGCGTCTATCCCATTTAAGGAAAATATATCCCAATTTAAGGTTAAACAAAATAATGTTTGTATTTTAGTACATTTGTGTTTCATTTCTAGTATTTCATTACAGCAACAAGCTTCAACACATCTGTTTTTATAGAGAATTCCCTGAATAGAGAATTCCCTGATTTGACAATACTTTTTAACTTGGTAAAGTTTTGATTCAACTAAATGTGTATGTTGTATTTTATGCATCAGGAAAAGTTACTGTTTTTTCCAATATTTTTTCCAATTGCAATGACTAGAAATCCGTACCTTCCAAATATATACATGTAATAATGATACAAAAAAATATATAAATTGTTGATTGCTTCAAGTAATTGCATTTATGTAAAACATTCAATAAAAATGTTATAACAGGTTTATATGTGCAGGTCTTTTTAAAGGGATCAACTTTTTGAAAAGAAAACCATACGTATAACTATCTCTAGGGGTTTACTGAATACAGAGTAGCGGTATGTCTTTACTCAGTTTAAGTACACAAGTTGAGCTGATACAAAATTGCGCCAATGTGCGATTGTTATTCCTTACATTTTATAAATCTTTCTTCATTATTTTACTTCGTCAAATGTTTCTATGGATTTTGCTTGTTGCTTGGAGGACATTGGAATGCTCTGAGGCATGGGGGATCACACGTCCTGTTGTGTGTTTTTTATTTATTTATTTTATTTATTTATTTATTGTATTTATTTACTTTTTTTGACATATGGAGATGCACGTTATCAGTTAACCGTACATGACTGGTTAAATAACCTTGTGTTACACGCAACTGTTTTTATAAGCTGTATGAGATTTGCATCTTGCTATATTCTGCACTTTTTTTAATGATTTGAACTGTCATTGAATATGTGCGTGCGTGTGTGCAATATATAAGTTCAAGGATAGTTGCTGGGTCATATGGGGGTTGCGTTCATTGAACGCCGCTTTTCCTTGTTGATCTTGTTTATCATATTCTTAGAACATATGTTTCATAAATTGACACAACGAATCAATTTTATTTTGAAGCGCCTTAACTTGAAGCATGATTGTAGTTGCGAGTAAGATAAATATTTATACAGTTGTCTGTGCAAAAGAAATCATACGCATACCAGATCTTCTAGACTTAAAAGTGTCAAGGAAAATATATTTATATTTCATTAGGTTTGGATGAAAGCAGATACTATGCAGCTTTTCCAGTTTTCCGTCATCATAATTTGTGTGACACATGCTAAAGGATATGATGTTAACAACACCGCTCCATCAGACATTAACGCACAATATTTAATTGATGTAGGAGTGAAAACAAATGATGCTAAATTGGAGGCTGTTGGAATAGCCATGAAAAATCTCCATCAGCAAACTTGTGGTGATTGGTCGACCTGGTCAAAGTGTACTTCAAACATGTTTCGTTATTTTGGCATGAAGCAGCGTACAAGGAAATGTGTCAGCGCGTCTTTGGGAAATGAAACAGACTTACGCTTATGTAGGAATCGATGTCCGTCTGACTATAAAACAACAGCTAATAGGTTTTGTTTAAAATTACATACCTCTGCAAAATTACATTCTGAAGCAGAAAACTACTGCAAGTCAGAGGGTGGACATTTGGTTCATATCAACTCACAAGCAAAGTATGATGCCATTGTGAAAATGAATTTTCCAAATAATCTGGCTAAGTATATACATATTGGAGGACAGCGGAAAGACGTGACCTCAAACTGGAAGTTCAACGACGGGACAAGAATGACCTTCTTCAGATGGGCACCAAATGAACCGGACGCGTATTCGCATGAATTATGTTTACTCTTAGAGACAAAGCCAATGACTATGCATAATGGAGAGTGTCGTCAAAAGTTTCCGTGTATCTGTGAAATCACTGCATGAACGGATAAATGAAAATTCAAGTTACAGTATAAAATACTAATATATCAAATAAACATAAATTGTGTACATAAACCTGCTTTCTTAGACAATGTCAAGATTAAGGCAAGCCCAGATGGATTTCATGTGCGTTAATTCATTCAGCATATATAAAACATTTTCACATCTTTTTAACGAGATATTTGATTATTTTGTTTCTTTTCTCTTTTTAAAAATAGTATGCCTCCAGATATAAATACTTTGAAAGTGTTTTTAAAAGTGTCATTCATAATGCGTACCTTGCCAAAAAGGCTTAACATATGCAAAAATGCCTGTTACTGCGTTAGTCACGCAGTAGAAATGTTGTAAATACAGCAAAATCAGCCATTCATTGTATTTAATATGTAAATCATTAATAAAATTGTGAATATTTTGATATCTCCTAACATCTTAGTACATTTGTCTCGAAGTTGATTTCCTGTTGTTTTTTGTTTTGTTTTTTTTTGGGGGGGGGGGCTCATTTGGAGGCATGCAGCTTTAATATGAAAAAATAAACATGTATCACAGTAAATGATTTTCTCTTTAAAATACCGTATTCGTACTTATTTCTGCGATTTTTGTTAAAACGAGGGGTTTTAAATTTCTGCGTATCTTATTTCTGCGGTGTCATTATTCTCTCATTGATACCTTTTATATCTGCGTTATAATTAAGATATTTTTACAAATTAACCGACACAAACAGACAACATTTCAAGATTTGTTTATATAACATGTACATTAATACTTCCCTTTAACATGCAGATGACTGATAATGTGTTTCGTCGTAATAATCATATATCGGTATATACACATTAATAAAAAAAATCAACAACGTGCAATGACAACAATGTATGTGTATAAATATGAAGTGTGAATAATAATCGCAAAATCACAAAGCTTTGATCTGCATTGCATCTCGTTTACTCGAAGGGTCCCTTGTTATAGAAACTTGGTCGAATGCTCATATTGATCTTTCAGTTTTAGAAGCAGCTCTAGCCATTAACTTACAGATTAATAATGTCCACGAGAGGATGATGTAAGATAAAGTTATTGTTTAAGGTTGATGATGATGATGATTATGATGATGATGATCTTTTGTAAATCATCAGTATATTTAAATTTTAAAATAATGAAAGGTCAGATTATTTAAGGTACGAAATTTATATGAAAAAGTGACTGATGTCATTTAAAGTCATTCATTTCGTATGATATTTTTTTGCAAAACTGTCAAGGTTCCTACTTTCCTGTAAAATTTGTTTTCATAACACAGGAGGTCAGTGTAGATGACTTAATTCCGGATGACAGTGTGCTCTGTTAGTGGTTTTAGTTTATTATGGTGGCCTTACTTAGTTTTTATCTTAAAGTTTATAAAAGTAGAGCTAAGACTATATCTTAATATAAAAGAGTGAATGTATTCTAACATTAAATAATCAGTCATACATTTATGCATTAATGTTGTTTTTAATATAATTAAACGTGTTTTATCTTTAAATCACATCGCAATACAATTTTTAGTTTTATGCAATTTAAGCAGGGTACATAGTTTGTCAAATGTCACTTCGAACACTATATTGAACATTTTAATGTAATTTCTCTTGGAAGTTATATTCAACTGGGCCAGCAGTTCATTGCATGCAGTGTAATAGATGGATGACGATGATTAATTCAGAATCCTTGACTGACATCATTAAACGATCCCCGGTTTCTTTGGACAACACAACACTTGAATATATTCCGTACGCCTTAACGCATTTTAAGTCTGTAGCGGATAAGGAGGTGTTCACCACACTAAAATTGTCCAAGTTAATATCTTCTGTCAATATTAGGTTATAAATATGATAAAGTTGTCTCGGAAATAAATTCTGAAATACTTTGTGTCAGTGAAATAAGATATATAGATAGAAAATGAACTTTGAACACAACCAAACCCAATAAATAATAAGATAAAGTTTGCAGGCTCAGAATGAATGAACCTGTTCATTGACAGTTATGGAAATGCATATTTCTGCCCATGCAACCTAGCCCCGGGTTGAGCGCTAGTCTATGTTAACACCAACATATGTTTCGTACTCCTCGACCTTCAAACAAATGAATATGTTATATATTTAATCAATCAATAAAACATTTATGGAATTTGTGGGATGTGTAGGCAATCAGAATCACCTAAGGAAAGAGCGTTATTTTCAAAAATATTTTCAAGTCCTCTTGGCTTAAGCACTCAAATGACATAATAATCTGGAAGTAACTGGTGCTATTTCTCTCTTAAACATCACATTATTGACTATTGACATACCTTTTGAAAATCCTACATTTAGTATTGATGCAGAAAAAACCCTAAAAAAACCCGACAAGAACAGTTTTTAATTGATTATTTTTCAATATAAGACACACAATGTAAGTAGCTACAGAGTAGATCAATGAAAATATTAAGCCTTTATTTAAAACAAAGGTTATCTGAACAACTTGTCACTCAAGTTCTTCTGGATCACACACAGCATATAATTCCCAACACACAGGTGCTTATTTTTTAAAACTTATATCAATTAAATCTTCTTTGGAAGGAAACATTAGGAACATATCATTTTGTTTTTTGTTAAATTGAAAAGAAATTAAAAAATGCTATTCGGATTTCCTTCGGATTCGGACTGCTTCACATACTGTACATGTTTATAATTCACGAGTGCTTGGCTTAGCAAACAACGGCAATATCTTCCTCTACAGTAAAATATAGAAAAAATTATTAGTTACATTCTTATACGGCAATTCTTTCAACTATCCCTTTGAGTGTATTGCATTTTTCATTGTAACGTTGGGCATCAGATTCAGTCGGAATACAAGAAATTCATTTGTCAATTTAAAATACTAGAATCTCTAATTACAAGACCTTTTCAGACACAGTTTTTGCAAATTTTTAATAATTATAGCCAACGAAAAAAAACTGGTGTTTAAGAATTGTCATTTCCTTTGAGTTAATTCAATTGTGACGAGTATTGAAAAGTTATATACAGGCTATTTAAAAATGTATGTGCGCGAATTACATTAAACTGTTTGATTCTGCAATAATATGCAGGCTGATGTTGTAGAACTGTCTTGGCGTAAATACTACCGTATAATGATACTTGAAAATTTCTTCCCCTTTGCAAACATATATGCGCTTTTCAAGAATTTCTCATCAAAATAAAAACAGATTGCTTTGATCTCTAATTACTTTATCATTGTTCCACCTATTATATCACAGATAAATAATTTAAACAAGCCAATATCAAACTCCAAATTAAAGTAATGTGACAGTATTGTAGCTTGATGAACGTACAAAAGGTAAGAAAAGTTGGATTGAAGCTTGCTTGCTGATGGAATAAAGATGTTATGTCAGTATTTTCAAAAGTTGAAAATGGTAATTTTTGGAAAATGATAATTCCCATGGCTGTATCATGTTGTTAGCAGTATATATCATACCAAAGTTAAAGATGTGGTGATTTTCTGGTGTGTAATTCAAGATGCAGTGATTTTCAAGTGTGTATCTTTATTAAAGTTCATGTAGTGATTTTCGTGTGTGTCAAATATTAATCACGTGACCATGAAGTGACATTCTTGTGAAAATAAGAATTGTTTCTATTGATCATTTCTAAGACGAATCACCTACAATGGTTAAATTTAATTCTTATTCAATGCAATGCTGAATTTAAACACGTCTACGTTGACCGGATCGTACTGAAGTCATATTCCGGGTAGAAATCGGTGTAGTCACTTTCCTGTGAGCGTTTGTGTGCGTGCGTCAGTACGTGCGAGCGAGCGAGCGTGCGTGCGCGCGCGTGTGTGTGTGTGTGTTGGATTTTCAATGCTTACAAAATTTATCTTTTTTATTACGTTTGAAATTTAAGTTATTTATCAATGTCAGCTTTGCTCTAAACAGCTCTGACAGTGTCGAAATTGTAAGCAAAAATAAAATTGTGGTACCATATGGGGGAAAATCTTTAAAAGTAGTATGTCGGTGAAAAGTGTGAAATTATATTTTGATAAATTATACTGTGAAATTATCAAATATAATTTTCATGGATAAATCAGTAAACCCAAAAGCACGAAATAAAATGTGTTATCAAAATATATTCAGGGATATGCATGAGTTAAAATGTTTAAGTTTCGATCGAAGAAAATATCAGTTTGTTATTAAAGGTATTCAAAATAACAAAGAACTAAATCTTACAATTTAAGCCTGACAATTGGATAACGTTGGCGACCAAATTGACGTACGTCAAAGTATCATTGTAATGTCATTATGTTCGGCATGTCACACAAAAAGAAAGATGACTGTTGTATCTGTTTTATTGCAAGGTTGTATTTAAGATTGTACGGTTGTTGAGATAAACAGAAAGCTGAAGCAAAAGATTATATTTTGGTGCAATGGTGTTGTTATTGTTTATCTCAGATTTTCAAATCCTACTTCTTACAGAGTATAAAGTATTTCTAGTAAAATTTTGTGAAGTGAACAAAAGGAATTAACACCCTTCAAACGACACTTAAAATCCAAATAAATTACCTAAATAAATGTCAAACTATGCAATAAATATAAAGTATACTGCGCTTGTCAGTCAGTAGAAGAAACGTGTTTGTAAATTATTGCAAAATCAGCCATTAATCGCATATAACATGTACATTATTAATCGAATTGTGGGGGAAAATACTTAAATTAAAGGGTGGTACATTTTCTCAAGTTTTATTTTCTTGAAATATGTTGGCTCATCTAGAGACATTAGCTATAACTTTGGTTAATGTATATGATAACGGGACAATCAATCGTAGTTGTAAATCACAAAACATGATCATAGTTATTATTGATATTCATAGTAGACACATTATATAATAAATATTATTTATTATTTGCTAAAAACAGATTGTTGTTAGGAAACATAATATTTGTAAGAATAATCAGAAAGTACAGTTGTATATTAATTTTATCAGCAGAATTCATGATTTATTATTATAATGTGCGTTCTTTTTAACTATATGCATGTATAATCACTTTTCTTACACACCTTATATTCTAAAGATTAAATGATCAAAAACGGTTAAAAATTGAAATCCACCAAGACTGTTAATTTACTGTTAATTTACTGCAAACTTCAGACTAAAACATAGATAAAAAACTTTATTTTTTTATCCGTTTAATTTACAATTATCTTGATATTTCTGATTAATGTAAATTCATTATATGACCCACTTAAACATTCAGTGAAAGGCATGA